TGGTTACCGCATTTTGTTCATATTGGAGAAAAAAAATTTGTATTTTCTTACAAAAGCTCAATTTTATTAATAAGCTTGAGTGAAATATTTCTATGGAGCATGAGATGCATTTTTTCATGTACAACAGACCGTGCTAATAGAGCTTATACTAAATTAACTTTTGATCAATAGCAATTGAATGTGTAAGCAGAAGTACAATACAAAAAATGGAAAAAAAAGTTGAAAGTAAAGTTGATGATAAGAAATTTCACACAAGAGAAGAATGTGCATTACCACAAAATTTTCTCAACTCTAGCAAAGTATGTTATGAATCACCTGATATGTACAATTGTTGCAATATTTAGTCTTGTTATGTATTATATATTTTTAATGGGAATTTGAAGTAATAAACCTACATGAAACAACCAATTGGCATTTTGAAAAAAGATCAAAAGAAATTTGTTGTACTGTTTGAAATTATTATATGACTTAAAGCAAGTTCCTAGGCAATGAAATGCAAAATTTGATGGGTTTATGAAAACACATGAATTTTTCATGGACAATGTATGAGTTTTATGTGTACATGAAGAAAGTTAATAATAAGATTTTAATCAATTATTCTAGTACATAATGTAGATGACATGTTTATTTTGACAAAAAAATTAATTCAACTTCGTTAAATGCAAGAATCAATTGAAATCTGCATTTAAGATGAAGAATGTTGGATAAGTCCAAGAGTATATTGGAAATAGATTTTCATAAAAATTTGATGATGGAGTTTTATAAGAATTTGAAGAAGAAAAAAACCATGGTCGTGTTAGGAAATTGTATTCAGAATGTATTTGACACGTTTAACATACAAATATTTAGAAGTATAGATTTTTTGACTTTGACATCACATTTCAAATTCTAATTGAAGGCATTGAGAAGTAAAGGATATCATCTATTTCCTATGATCAAATTGTGATAGATTTCATATTTTTGATGTCATGAAAAAGATTTAATTTTTTCTATCTATGTACAAGATGAATAGATAATATCAAATTTTGTAAACCTACATTTGAAAAAAGTGAAATGATTTTCAGCATTCTAAAAAATACTAAGATGTACAATATAATGTTTGATGATTTATCACACAATGTAAAAACCATGTTATGCTAGATTGATGCATATTATGGACTAGATTTGAACAAGATCATGTACAACAAAGTATGTGTTTACACTTGATGATGGATTTATTAGTTCAAAATCTACTTTGCAAAAGTGCATAGTTCAATTCATAACGGAAGCTAAATATATAATCGCAATATAATTAGCAAATGAAGCTATTGGGTTGGATGAAAATATCACCGAGTTGAGATTTAAATAAAAAATTGTCAATCATGTGATAATTAAAGAGCATTATATGTTGTTGTAAATCAAGTGATGAATATTATGTGAAACGCATTGTTAGTAGTAATTCAAGTCTCAAGTAAGACTATAATTAGCCGCCACTTTATGTAGAATAAGCCATCACTTTTTATAACATTTTGGATTTAGGGTTGAAAAATACTAAACTCAAAATCGTACACTGAGGCACAAATACAGGAGAGCGAGACAAATCTAGATTTAAAAACAAAACACACTTGTAAGATCTTTAGAATAGAGTACTTGTTCCTATGGACGTAGTTCAAAATCTAGTGAACCAAATATCTGATTGTGTTGGTGTGTGTGTTTGGAGTTTGTAGCTTATCTTTTGTTATTACACACATCAACATCATGCATTATTTTATCAAAGATGTAGTTTTTGATAAAAAAATAAATTTGATCTAGTCTAGATTGATAATAATTCAATTCAATTGTAAAACAATTATATGTAATATGGAGGTTTACGTCTTCATGACATGATTTGAAGGAAAGATGATTAGTATACACTCAATTCAATTTACATTTAAGATAGATGAATCCTAATTAAGATTTATGTTTTGAGTTTTACATAAAAAAATCTAGCCAAAGCTTTTTCTAACACTTAAGTATTTTTCTATTAGTTAAATTTTTTTCTAGTGATTCATGATAACTTACCTTGGCAATGTCAAATCATAGCTTCATGTATAGCTGTATCAAAAATCATTTGTATAGTGGTGTTGACATTTCAAAAAATTTCACAACAATCTTGATGTTTTAAAGCAATTTAATCAAAGTTTTTCAGAACATCTTTTCTTCAAAATCTACTTGAGTGCAATGTCAGATTCAGTCAAAGTTGATATAATAAACAACAAACAATTCAAATACATAAAACAATGTAGTGAAAGAACTCATGAAGTTGAAAGCTCAAGTACAATGTGATAGATAGCATCAACAAATTGTTGATGGACCTACAAAACAATCATTCACAAGTTGCAAAGGGAGTGCTTGAATACATGCATCAAAATAAATCATCTCTACATTTTGTCAATTGCGAATTTGCTGCAATTTTTGGTTGGAGCTAAGATAAAAATGTAAATTAAATAATTGTTGAGAGCTCGTGAGATAATAGTGCAAAAATTTACTAAAGCGATGAGTGCTCACAATCTCTACACAACTTTCATCACAAATTTGGCCGTGTTTGCTATGATATTTTGGATGGAAATGACTATTGTAGTAGAGCATGTTGTGATGGCAAACTAAAAAGTCTTGTCATCAATTGATTTGCACATGGTAGCTCTAGCAGCACATAGACGAATGATTCCAATTGTTGTTCTAACATGATTGCACAAGTTATGTCTACTCTATAATCACAATCCTTACTCTCCTCTCATAAACATGAAGTTGACTTCAAAGATTTTAATCTTTGATGAATTTTCAAATTGTTTGAAAGGAGCAACATCTGGATCTAATTTGTATCTACCCTATAACCACAATCCTTACTCTCTTCTGATAAACATGAAGTTGACTTCAAAGATTTTAAACTTTGATGAATTTTCAAATTGTTTGAAAGGAGCAACATATGGATCTAATGGTGTGGACATGACTAAAAGGGCATGACAACTTATGAGAAGAATTGCATAAAATGTTGCAACTCTATTGGAGATGCATGCAACTTGTTTGGAAGATTAGATTGAAAAAATGTTTATTGCAATGGAGGATGCACAAGTTGCCAAAGATATTTCGTGTGACGAGCTGGTCACAATACATATACTTATTCCCGATAATTGATAATGTTGTAACGTTGTTGGCAAGTAATACTAATTTTCTGAACTTTTATCTTTGTAGTCGGTTAAAATTCAAAAGATGGAGTAACCTCTATAATCATGTTTGACATTTTTCACATACAATCTTAATGGAATGACAGCATTGAATGTTTATGAAAACAAAAAAATATCACTCGTTTAATAAGGCATTAATTTTAGTTTCTGATTTTTGATATCATGAATTCCAAGATCACCATGGAGATTATAGTTTTGATGGAGTAGTACAAAAGCATGCTTTGAGTACAAAATCATTGTCAAAGTGTACTACAAATGATTGATAATAAAATGAAACACATAGATTTTATCTTCAACTACTATTTTATCTAAGATGCATTTGTGATAAGAAAAATTGAGCTAGTAAATTGTCGTTGAACCCAATTCAGAACATGCACTAGCCAAAGTTCTTACTTACGGGAGTTTTAGTAAATGTTGTGTTACTTTGCAAGTTTCGGATGAAAATCACGAGTAAAGTTTACAAATAATTTTGTTAATTTACTACACTTTTATTCTTTCTATGACTTTGGGTTAGTTCTCTAGCTCAGGTGCATATGTCAGGTCGTAGTTTAAGTTTTTTTGCAGAAAATAATGGAGTTTTAGATTTTCATGACATGAATTAAGGGAAATAGATAAACTTTAAGTCAAAAGTTTTGGTAATTCATGCTAGCTTGACCTCAATCAATGAAGCTGGTGAAACTATCATTATGTAATAGATATCTCAAAAATCTTAACAATTTTTTTCACATAAAATATTTTTTGTTTGCGTGCACTTAATCCAATGACGAATCTAACTTGTCCTTCTCGACCTTGCATCAGTACATTTACGTGCTACTGAATTTGAATTGTAGTGTCGAATGAAGTTTGAACTTTTAAATTTTTGACTATACATCGCTACAAAAGGAGAAAATTACTTGATGTGACCCCAGGAAACTCAAAACACTTGATGGAACCCGACGGGTTTCATTTTACCCGATGGGACCCCATCCACGGCCTGCAATCCCATTGTAAGTGATGTTCCAATACTATCTGGGGTTATTTCGAGTAGAACATGAAGTCACGGCAAAGAGTAATTCAAATTCATGGTGCCGGTCTTAGACATGGCTGTGAACTAGTCGCCCAAAATACTCTGGCCCGACAGTGGCGGACACTCCCCACTCTATAGAGAAAATCAGTACGTTATAAGAACATGGCTTAAGGTGGCCGTCGAATGGGTCCCTTCAAGACGTATTGAGTTTCCAAAAGGTCACATCAAGTAACTTCCTCCTTCCAGAACGGTGCTTGTTCGTCTACCTTAACGCGTTGATATAAGATGTATTTATGGCCACCCAAAATATATAGGAATCCCTTGATGCGGCCTCTCATCTGCAGGGAATGCTATGCCGCTGCATGCCTTCGAAAACAACCAATTTGCTTTGGGGTACCCCCATGCATCCGTAAATGCATTCCATACCAGTGTACACACCTACTTAATCAACTATTCTTTGATCGAAGTGATAGATATCAAATTATAAAAAGTACTGCACGGTCAAACCTCTAGTTCGAATCATGGAGAGGCTCCAGTTGACAAGACTTCACAGTCTGATGATGTTGCTGCTGGCTGCGCATATACACTGTTGTTCTTTTCTGGCAAAATGGTGCCTTCCTACTGTTGGGACCCAATATCTTCCTTTTGGATTATGCTGCCCGTGCAATGATTTGATGCCATTTCGTTATTAGCCACCTTAGTGATGGGCTATGAGGCCATATTCAAAGATCACACAGATCACGCAGTGACATCACACCATTCAGAGTAGTCCGAAGTACACATAGTGAACGAAACCCCAGTAAACCCTCGACATCAAAGCAGAACCTGCTCTGATCGCGAATGTCACTGTCACAGAGAGGTTTTTTCTATAACATCCAAAAGGAGACACAATTGACATGCTTGTGCAGGCTGCGAGGCTCCTTTCCCACTTACAACAAAGACTCCACCGAGAGGTGGGTTGGAAATGGATCACAACATTGCTCCAAGCAAGTGATCTGACAACTGTTGCTTGTTGTAACAAGTATCAACCATTACTGTCCTAATATTGTACAGTCATGGAGTATGATACAAGCAGCCTTCCTAAATGAACGCCACCTTTCCCCAATGCAATTACTAAACTAATATTTACATCGTCTACACAAATGGGAAGGGGAGGCGAGTTTATTTACCGGAGTGCAGCCTACATCGCGGCACTCTTCCCACGTCTATGTACGACAAAACTTTTCTATAATTTTCCAGCTCATCATGTGGTGTGTCACCTAAAAGAGTTGATACTGCCAGGACTTCCTTCTCTAGTGAGGCAACTTTCTTCAATGCAAGAGCTTGATGGATGGCCAGAAATCGCTCAAATGCAAGTTCAGAACAGGTCAAAATTTCTCAACTTTGAGTACCTTCCGAACACCCAAAACAAATTGAGAGCCGACGATGAAGTATCAAACATGACAGCTATTTACAGCTTCCCATCTGCCAGTAGAACGATAAGGGTGATAGCAGCAGCAACGGTACACACTAAAGCCTGCAAGAGTAAAACAATTTCAAAAGGTGAGTATTGAGCTTATATCCTGAAAACCCAGTTTAATCTTTACGTAGTCCTAGTGAGACCAGGTGGCCAGTTTCTAGACATTTGACAATGAATGGAACAACGTCATTTCAATTAAATGCATACATGCCAGCAATTAACGCAGTTGAATAAAATTACAGTAGACACAACCAACTACAACCGAAAGTGTCAACTTTCTGTTGGTAATCAAGAACAGTCACATTATGATAATAATTTCTCCTGCGCAAACTTTTCGTCCGAGTCAGATTGAGAAATTATACTACGTCACATAGCTCGAGTGTCCTTTCAACAAGTTTCATGTTAGAAAGTTCAGGTTGAATACGCATACTGTAATCAAAATTGGGAAAAACTTCTGGATCTTTTGAACTTTAACAAATGCAAAATACTACCCGTTTACTTCTTGATAAGCAACCTCAGTGAACATTTTCGGTCTTTCCATCATTTGACAGTCGATACGACGTCAATCGAGTTCTGTAACTCAGGGAAAAACGACTAAAAGTCTTTACATAAAGCCCAGTAAAATGAAATGCGCTAGTAACACATCAAACAAGCGTGCATCATACCACATGCTTCAACTGTACCACGGGACGTCTTGCGTATGGAGAACACATGGGCATAACTATTTAGGGATAGTTCATATTCTTGTCTACAGTCGATGATTACCGAGGTTAAGAAGCTTTCCAGATGCAACGGACGCGCATCGCCTGATATCTGTATTGATATGCATCGGTAAAGACCGACAGAGAGACAAAGATGTAATATCTGAGAAGAACTTATTAATCTCTTCGGAGAATGTGACGCAGGACAATCGTAGAACCGATGTGTCAAGCTCACGTATAAATAAGACCAAAGTCGCCGTGGCCTTCATGCACTTCACGTCTCAAGGCTTTCATTGCACTTTTCTCTAAGTTACTTCTGCCTGGCATCGTTGAGTCCTTTGAGAAACCGTTGGGGAAGAAGATGAAACTAAAGCTGACGGTAGTGCAAGGGGTAGGAAAGGGCAAGTAACGAGAACATGAGAAATGGTACATAAACAGATCTATATTATAATAATTCTTGATAGTGATATATATAATGGTATTATGTTTTTGAAATATATACCACTGTAGTACCATGACCATAGTAATATAGTCAATATATATCCAGAGAGCACCGTGGTGCTACCGATGGCGAGCAGGACCTAAGTGTATCATATGAAGGCTGACATATGGAGCAGAACATAAGTGTATCATATATACCCTAAACCCTAACAATGGAACTCCATGCGGACCAGGAACACTGCTCACAACATTTGTCGGATCCAGGTTCTATTTCATGGCTTCGAAGCAAGAAATCAGACTTGGAAGCGTTCTTGATTAGCTCTATCACAATTGAGCAAATTAAGAGCAAATCATTAACCAGAGGAAACTTGAATGCACTTACTGCGATGGCACATGCTGCAAGGCCTGGTCTTTCACGGGGATCATGTCGATAATGCTCGGCAAAAAATAGAAAGGTGCCGTAGTACCAAAACAGAGGGCATAGAAACCCAAAGATGAAACTGCACACATTGCGAGAGATCAGCTTGTAAGACTCTTGTAGATTAAGAAGCAACATCCAAGTTTCTTTCTTTCCCTATCAGTGAAGACTAGAAACCTCAGAATAACACGACGCATTAGTATCCACGAGAACTTTTACTCAATTTACTACCCCGGTATGTTAAGTCTACTTTGAGTCTGGGATTCTCTTCAAAAATGAGATCCAGGTCAGTTTTCACTTCACCTCATTCCATAGTGCAAACTATAGGCTCAGATGCCGAGGAAACAACAAAATCGTAAGGTAGTAGTCGATGGAATTCTGGAGGAGGTATACAATTCTCCGTTGAAAAACCTTCACCGTACTATGGATACTTCGTAAGGATTACAACAATCTGGGTTCTTCTACAACATTGATGGACCGAGCGACTACTTTGGCCGTGTTGCATTTTCGACAGCAAAGAATGCTTAAAAACAGCATATCACACTCTAAACTGACCGTTCCCCGTGCACGTACAAAAACAACCCTCCCGAGTACTGACTCACTGTCCACAAACTGAATTATTGCAAAGAGTGAGCCAAAAAATGATGGACATCAGATATAAATGTTCGACTGAATTACAACACAGAAGATGGCAACAAGTAGGAATTTGAATAATTCTTTTGCCTCGACATCTCTTTATCAGTTGGATGGCAGATATAATGAATAGGTATAAGATGAGGGTTACAAGTTTTAGTCCAGTAGAAATAAATCTACCAGCCTTATGTAAAGGAGCTGGTATTAGTCAATGGTTGAGCTGGTGTAATCTGGCTGGTATAAGTGAATGGGTTCAACCCGTGTGCCCTCTTATTACAGACGAAGAAGATAATCTTCACCCTGATAGGAAGCTCATGATGGACGAGGTTATAACTATTCGCAAGGAATCCAATACAGTATCATCTAATTACTTGGTTGTTGAGGCTTCCAGTCAAAAACATCCTTCGAAATGAAAAAAGTCAGTTTTGGAAGCCTTGCTAATATATATAAGTTCATAGCATGGTATTCTCTCACCCCTAATGTGCTCATCGAACTCTTTGCACACTAACCTATAGAATTAGTGTAGAATAGTCCCTATCAAGGAAAAACTACTTTCATTATGTCCCGCCTTTTTCTAAATCAAGATATGAATCTCTCGATACTTAAAACTCTAACACATGTCTACAGACCCTACGAGGAACTATTCATCTGATAGTCGCATGCGCATTTGTGCGCTTGTAACGAAATTTTTAATGCATCGGAGCGTTCTTTTGAAATGCTGTTCACTATCATTGACCTCATCTGGTAGATCACGAGTGTTCTGCTATCTAACCAGTATTCCTCCAAGATAAGGCTCTAGCTTCTAGAGCATTCTTTCCTGACCCTTTGCTTGTTATCAGGATTTGGAGACGATTTTAATTAAGAATCTACACTCTGTCGCAAAAGATATCAATTCTACGACCACAATCGAGCCAGATTTGGATCGCCATGAAAATAGATGCCGAATGGCATACTGATGAGTAACTCAAAAAGGGCGCTAAAGCTTGAGGTACTTTCGTAAACCTTCTAATACAAGACAACGACATCTTGTCCCTGTGACATCAGGTGCCATTTGCTTTTGATACTGGAAAGGTTGTGTGGGATGAATTGATATTGATTGTAGTTGTAGTTGTAGTTGTGTTTGTTTTGTTTGATAGACCTGGTTTGATTTATCACAGTTTCACTGCTGAAGGAAGGAATTACTAGATTTCTGCCTTGCCATTTCTAAAGAAACAGACTACCGGTCATAGAAAACTGTGAGTAGCAACTACTTGATTCCCTTAACCACCAAAACGTCACATGGAGAGGTCATAGAATGCTGGAGAGAGTAAGGAGACTCACGAGCACCATCCAATGCCACATCCACAGCATCGCAGGGGCCGATCATACATTCCCACAGAAACGTCGCCGTCACTGTCAACCCGGTATTCCCCCAGGAGCGGCGCGAGTCCTCCATTGCTTTGTCCTCTTATGGATTCTGAGTCCATTTTTGTAATTCAGCCCCAGAGCTGAATCCCTGTCTATTCCTGGGTCCCGACCGGTCACAGTCTACTCAAGTGCATGCGTCGATACCTGCAATCAAGAAGCTCTCGTTGAGAAACTCGATAATACATGCAAGTTTCAACCTTGCTTCGACACTAGGCACCAGAACAAGACGATGCATCCATCTAACCTGCTCGATTCGACAATGAGCGGCTTCTCTGATGACACATACCATCAATCACGTCTTCTCAGACAAGAAATAGATTCAATTACCGTACCTTCAGCTCTGATATTCGACAAAACATCAACAAACGACCAGCCCTAAAGCTTCAATTCACCATCGTTTACTTATGCCTCGACAATTGACAATTCACTTTTTCCATCGAGCAACCAACCGGTGACAGTATCGGATCTGATAACGTTGGAATATCCATTCCAACGTTATCAGATCGTAGTGCGGATTGCAAATTACAAACGACGTTCATTCGTTGAGGTCGTAAACAAGTCGGCTACGTGCAGTTCAAGCATGACGTTGACAACAGAAAGTCTAGTAAACATGTGAATGGTGGTGCTGTGTCAGAGACATCTTCTAGGCTTCAAATGTAAATGTACTCCTGAACACGGGAGAAGCATTCCAGGGCATCAGTACGACGGTACTCTAACAGATTTTGGAACTGCACTACATAGTACCACCATAAATTACTTTGTATGAAATTTATGTTCTAGTAACTACTGATGGTAGATCACCATCGTGAGTGTCGAGGCTTGACTACAATTATGTCCTCTCAAATTGTCTCTCTACGGTACGCTTTTAATCAAGCGATGCCTTCATATGGTACTGTATGAGCACAGTCACCTGGACCCTTCGACTCCATGTGCAACATCTGCTTTTGGAATGTAATCAGTTAATTTAATGTCAACTGAAGCTGATACATTCGGATCGTAGCCTTTCAGTGCGAATCGAAGGCTCGCTCTTCTGGTCAAAGCCGACCAAAGACTTCGCCATTCCGAGAGCAGATGATGGATGCAGATGAGAGCAGATGAGATGCTCGAGGAAGCATGTTATGTGTCCGTGAATTTTACACGAACCCTGACAAATTCAAGAGCGCGGCCGACAAGTAGTTATGTGGCAATTACACCGAATGTGCAGCCGCAGGAACGATCGTGAGATCTCTGCTGCGCGATGCTCCGGGAGGCACGTGAGAAATTTGAAATGCTACGCTGTGGAACTTCAAGGAACTGTGTCCGGAGAGCATTATGGAAGAATGCTTGGCATCGATGCTCGCAAGTGTTTCGATAGGTAGGAGAGTCTCAAGGATGAATCTGCTCAGAAAAAGCCCAAAAAGCTCAAGGAGGCTTCGTGAGGACTAACGCCCCTGTGCACACGGACCAGAGACTCAAGACTGTTGTTGGTCGGACCAAGAGTTGAGGAGGGAGAGGAGAGAAGAGAAGAGAAGGATCGGAAAGAATAGACCTTTCAAAGAACACGCTGCAATCGACATAACCGATACCAAAAACTGCCACTCCGCGTCGGACACAGAGCGGTAACTCTGTCACGACTAGCTCCACGATCCGCAACCCTCACATGCGAAATAGGTTCTCACTGAATTCCTGCGGGATGATCGGAGCACATCTTGCTCGCAACCATCCACTGTCTCAAACTCCGAGCTCTCTCTTCGACTCGCCCGCCGTCCCTGAGCTGAAACGAATTGACCCCAAGACGCTACACGCGAGATTCTCACCCTGTCTCCGACGCCCTTTCGGCAGATGGTGTCGCGTCGATCCGCGATCCATCCATTTCATCATCTACACTGGAAATCATCCTTCCCTCTCGCTCCCTCGGGCGCCTGGGCCTTGAGCAGAAATTGCACTTTCCGATTCCGCTTCGCCCGATCCGCTAAAAACAAGAAGGCCCGCGAGCATGCGGTCGTCTCATGTGTTCGATCGATCGATCGATCGATCGATCCACCTCCGGCACAGGCACTAGCAATCTCGTTTGTCCGTGGTACTGTATTCTCTTTACAGTGCAGACGAGGACGGCATGCCAACTGGACCGCGCGGCCCGAGAGGATATTGCAGAAAAAGGGGCAAAAAGGAAATGTAAAAGCGGGCTGAAAGACGCAGGCACTCGTCGCTAGCTGCCGCTGGTTCCCCTGCGGTTGGACATGGGAAAAGTCATGCCCAACGTTTCTGCCCGAAATGGGAGGCTGCAGACGGCGTCGCCAGGAGCCCCTTGCGCAGAATTGGCTGGAGTCGGGGAGTCGAACATGTCCTCGCCCCCGTCCTGCCTGCCGAGGAGAAGGAGGAGTCCGGCTACGGGCAGGCAGGGAGGGAGGGCGTGAGAGATCCGAGGAGTGGGATTGATCAATTCCGCATCTTTCCTGGTAGGTGACATGCAAAGTAACGAGTCGAGGTCGATGTCGATGGTCCGTTCTTGCCCACCGGAATCGGTGCAGGTTTGAACCTCGACCTGCTGCTCTCAGGCGCCACATGCGCCTCAATGTCCTCAGACTGCCTCGTCGTCGGTCCACCTTTCCGACCCCACCCGCCGTTTTCCGCGAGGGCATGTGTCGGCTCTTCAACCCCCTGTCGACCTCTCGTCGCTCATCCCCCAGTTCAGCGGATGGATGGCCTGGCCTGCCTCTCTGCTGCCTCCCGAGTTCCGACACCGCCCCGACGCCAGAGCTCCTCCGTACGATGCTCCTGCGAGGGCTACGGGGTAGAGCATAGGGCCACTGCGTGCACTACTGCAGTAAGCAGCGAGACGACCACGAGCTCTACCGTGGTCCGTCCTGGACTCATTCTGTGCTCGGCGGCTGTTCTACATAACGATGCTGTCTGTCTTCAGGAGAACTTCAGAGACGCTAAATTCTCTCCCGGAGACGAGGAGCTTGAGCCTTGCATTGTTGGATCAGATGCTGTTTAGGAGCACAATGATGCGATACTTCCGGTCCTCAATCATGGAAAATCGACGCCTGTGTTCCGAATTGTGTGGGTACTTTGTGCACAAGTCATATGAATGATTACACAACCATATAAAGATCTGATAAAACTTGGAAGTGGTTAGTTATTTATCAGTTTGGACTAATTATCCCTCACCCTATTATACAAAAATCTCTGATTGGTCAAAACTATCTCTACACTTACTAGAGTTGTGTGATATAGTGTCCTCACGTACACAAGGAAAAGAGTGAGAAATAGTGCACATGACCCTAACGTGAGTGATATTTAGCCACTCCCTAAAAGCGAGCATGTCGCACTTGGAATACCTTCAATTTGTGGGAGCATGTGGCTAGCGCGCCTGTGGATTTTATATTCCTTCATTCATGGGAAGCCTCTCTATATAGGTAACTTTCCGTATCTTCAATTTGTGCGAGCATGTGGCTAGCGCGACTGTCGATTTATATTTCTTCATTCATGGGCAGGCCTCTTTATATAGGGAACTTTCCGTATATTCCGCATTACAACAAAGTTAGGATTATCATTGAAACAATACGGAATATACGGAGTTTAGAACAAATCTCTTATGTTTTTTCAATAATGTACTCATTTGACACCTTCTAGAGGACAAACTTTGTGAAAACCAAATACGAAATATATGTAACTCCATTGACGGATTTCGTATTTAGAGAGGCATGTTCATGAGTAACACATCTGCACAACCACTCTTCATGTCCAAGATCCTTACCCTCTTCCAAATTGATTTGACATTTAATGGTTCAATGTACCGAGGAGGTGGTGCTACTTGTAATTAAAAATCTGCATAGGTGGATAAGACATCCTCGTGTAATGAATGTCCCAACTTTGCCCATCTTTTTGAATCTTCATCCAGAAGCAGAGAAAAGATTATATATATATATATATATATATATATATATGTATATATATATATATTGTACTGTATACATATAAATTTCATCTTTGCATTCGTGTACGCAATGATTTGAGAATGACAAACAGAACCCGCAACAAGAGAGAAAAACCAAACCTTTGCTTCAGCAAGATCGATTGTAAATGAAAAGGCATTATAGATGAGCAGAAGCAAATGCAACTTTTTCTCGAAGATCGGTCGGTTGTATCTCAGCAAACCTGTGAATGACGGGCCGGGCCGATATGGTCTCCATGAAGGAACCAGCTCACCCGCTATTCTGGAATACAACCTCTACCATACAAGTGGAACGCATGGAACGAAAACGCGATGCAAACCATCGACAGCAGAACAACGCAACGGCCGGAGGGACCCCAACCCGAGGGCGGAAAGGAACGGTTCACTTTCACCGAATACTTGTTGGCAGGGGATTTCTCCCGTACCAGGACACAATTTGTCCAAACTTGCAGGTGCAAGCAGAATCTCGTGGGCTTAAAGAGATATTTGTCTGCACTTTCGGGCAGGTTTCAGTTTGTACGAATTGAGGCGATGGGCATGTCGGTCACGAGTGGTAGATCCCGAAGACCGGTTGAGTATCCTTCCGAGGGTGACATGGCCTCCTGTGAGGTTGATTTTCAGGACCATTCACATGACACCCCGGCCACGTCACGTCTAATCTGGATGTTTACACGTTATTTCAGGGGCGTGAATTGTCACTCCATATATAGTTTTTGTAGAGGCGCAAAAAGACAGAAGTTGGTCATATTTCTGACTCGGTGTTGATCATCGATGTACGATGATAGTGCCATAATGCTATTTTCTGAAATTGGTCTTTGTATAACATGAATAGTCAACATATATCACAGCCCTGGTGTAATTCTTGTGATTGATCTTTGTACAACACAGACAATCGAAATAAGTTAGAGCCATTGTGGAGTTTTTGGGATTTGTCTTTGTGCAACCTAAATGTTCAAAATAAATGAGAGCCCTAGTGTAATACTAGAAAAAGAAGTAATGGCACCAAAATGGAAACTCCAGTTGCTGCAAGAACGAATGGTCTAGGTTCTGTCCATTTTCGACATGAAGTGGAAACACTCAGAATGACAGACTTCTTCACTAACATGTGTGTTTGTGACACATGCTATAAACCTTATGTGATGTTCATATGCAACTTAGTGTAATCTCTTGATAAGTAGTCTAAGGATTATGGATCCGTTCTAAATCAAAGTGCCCTATGTAGAACGTTTTTGGAACAAACCTTCTTTTTATACTTAATACATTTTTGATACAGAGTCCGTGCCACGGACTCTCTGTCCGGATCCACGTAATCTAATAGATTGTCACTAGGCCTCGGCATGGTAACATAAAAGGTAACCAAGTAATGCATGGGCCTTTAACTTTATCTTACTTGCACCACTATTGTCTATCTCGACCTCAAGGCAATTACCCGGACTAATTTTTAAAGGTTTAAAAGTTACCCTTACCTCAAGGTTACCCAATAAATCTAACTTTTAGGATAAAAGGCAGAGGTAATAGAATAATTTACCTGGTTGATAAATTGTCAAACTGACATATTGTATTTTTGTGTTGTATGAGAAATATCTATAAAACTTCCTCAGCAAAATAGTTAGGCGTGGTGATCGGAAGATTCGTGAAGTACGTCTCCCTTGCTCTCGATGTCGTAATTTGGCCTCCAATTAAAAAACTAACGATCTCAATGTTTTTGGTTAGAATAGCGATTGTGATCATAATTACCAATTTGACTTAAACTTGCATGGTTGTTTTCTTTATCCGTCTTTAGGGAGAATG